TTACGAGTGAAGCAAACCAGACGGCAGCTCCCCCCGGGAGGTGTTAGAGCGACCCAGTGTATGCAGAGCTGCTCACTTGCTTTTGGGCTGGAGCAAAAGCCGTCGGAGAGCTTTTGCCTCCTTGCACTGAAGGAGGGGAGCTGCAGGTGCCCACACAGCAGCAGGCAGAGCTAAGGGGACAAGCGGGGAAGATATCATCCCTGCGGCACAGTCCGGGGAGCGCCAGGACAGGCATCCGCCTTCACCCTGCAACGGCGGAGATTTTCAGCCCGAATAAATGCAAAGCTCCCTATTCTGCCTGGCACAGTGGGTTTCCCTGAGACTCAGCCCGTGCCTTAACGAAGGACCCTTTCCAATCCGCGAGCCGTCAGATCGCAGAGCAGAAGGGAGGACTGTTTGTTTAGACCTATGTGGGTTAGGCAGCTCAGACTTTATTCTTGCACTTTGATAGGTTCCTAAATGAAAATCCAATAATATTTTAAGCAGAACGAGTTCCCATGAAAGTCATTTCTAAATCGCCTGGCTCATCCTACCTGTCGGCTGGATTCTCCATCCCCACTGGCCTAAGCCCGGTGTAACATCACTGCTCCCAACGGCGTTACTCCGGGGAGCCGAGTCCGGCCCTGCCGCAGAGAGCACCCGCTGCCGCCTGCCTTTAATGAACATGTAAATAGACAGGAGGCTTCAGAGCAGAGTAACCCTGCAGTCAGGAAGTTCTCCAAAGCAGCTCGGGAGAAATAATACTTTATTCCTGGCGGTGCAAATAAGTGATAGGGACTGGCTAAGAAGGGTTCATGCAAATACTCCCGAATTAAGCTCCATCTGAAGTTAGAAAGGAAAGATGATAAACACACCCGGCTTTAAAACTGCAAAATATGCTTTGCAGGCATGAAACCGGAGGAGTAACAAAACTATCTGACATCATATTAAGCAGCAAAGCATTTCTCATTCTCAGGGCTGCAGTTACCTAAAACCAGAGTCCCATTAAAGAGTCCTAACTATTATTTACATTTCTAAATCTTAAAACCATTAACAAAAGCCACTTAATTCAATTACTTTCCCTGCGCGCCGATGTTATTACATTATTGTCACGAAGCCGAGTTTGGCTCTGGTTTTCTCTTTTTTTCTTTCTTTAAATTCATTCCTCTTTTCTCTGCGCCGAGTGCCTCCCCCCCACCTCCCTGTCTTCCTCTCCCCCGATGTCATTGTGTAGAACTAATGGGGTAAACTGAAATGGTATCTGTCCTCATTGACAGGTTTATGAGAATTTAATAAAGCGTGGCGCGGATAAAATGAGATATTACAAGGCCACACAAAGCTGATTGACTTCTCCACGTCAGCATTTTTATTTGGTTATTTATTTATTTCTTTTCAACACAGGGGTGATCTCACCAGTCCTTCAGTAGTGCTGGCCCAGGAGAGATGAGAGGGGGAGGGAAAACATGGGCGGCGGGAGGGACCGATCAATCCATCGACTTGTTTGCTGCGAGCACGGGCCGTGATGCTTTGCAGCTTTCCGATCGCTCTGGGAAGATGACATACAGGAGGGAGCGAGGGGAGAGCCCCCCCGCCACTGCCTCTGCATGTTCATGCCCCTCGTACCTCCACAACGCTGGGGTGAGCTCGCCAACAACAGCTTGCTCACAGGTGGGGGTCCCCAACGCTTCTCCATCGGGGGGGTCTGAACCAGGGACCAGCTGCTGGTTGTGCAAGACGCTGCACAGACACTCGGCGTGGATGGGGCAGGAGGTATATTGGTGTTGTGCGAGTTGTGTGACCCTACGTGGTGACATCTGCGATGATGCTAAAACGGCCTCCCATAGCCCTCCTGGTGGACCCACTCCAGATCCCAGGGATGCTTACACCGATCGACACAGAGCAATCACAGCCTGCAATAGGCCCCGGGAAGTCCTCAAGAAGAAGGATGCCACCAACCAGTTCCACCAAGGCATGGGCCTGCTCTGTGCCTCAGTTTCCCCTCCCGCCCGATGCCCACGCTGCTTGTGTAAATGTAAATCGTGGGTCACCGGGGGCCTGCACACACCAAACCTTCCCTCTGGGAAAGTCAGTGTGTATATTTAAGTGTGTTTGCTCCCATCCCACATCAAATAGGGAGAGCTGGAAATTTGGGCCGTGCAGTAACTGGCTGTCTGTCTCCCTCTCCTGGCCTGTTCAGAAAACAGGGCTCGCTCTCTCTAAAAATAAAAATAAAAAAAAAAAAGAAAAAAGCAGGGTTTGTGTGCTTTTTTCCAAGCAAGAAAAACCACAATACCAGTGGTCAAGGAGGTCTGGATTCAGCCCAGTCACATCAGAGACGCACAAGGGCTCAGGCCCCTGCTACGACTCAGGACCCTGCTTAAATCTTGACCCCAAGCTATCGAATAACATCACTTTGGATGAAGACTGTCAGGATTAAACTTGGAGCTGCCCCTGTTAGCCTCAAAACTTGGCCTGTGGGGCTTCAAACACAAATAATATTGTTTCCCCTTCTCTGCGATATGCAGTCAGAGAAGGTGGAGACGCCCTTGCTCAGTTGAAGGTGCACGGTCCTGGCCACTGCAACAAATCCTGGCAGCAGCAGAGCTTCAGGTCTCTTGAGCACTGACGGTTTGCAGAATCAAGCCCTGCTGGGCCATCCTCCTTAGCAAAACCAACCCGGCCCAGATGGACCAACAGCAAATCTCCCCTCATTTTATAAGAGCGCTTTAAACCGTCTGAAATCAAAGCACTGCTCCCCACAAAAGCTCGGGCTGTCCCATCACCCAAAGAGCCAGAAAAGGGCTTTCTGCTTCGTTCAACACTCCTTGCAAGTACACGGTATACAGTGCAGGGGTTTAGGGCGCAAAAGCCTCCGAGAATGAGCTTTCTGCCAGGCCAGCAGCTCAATCCTGCTCTCTGGTGGCTCCCACCCGAAAGGCCAAGCGCATCCAGCAGCGATGGTCTGGGGGAGCAGCTGGAGATGCACACCGGGCCTGGCCGGTGTTCCCCCATGGGCTGGAAAGGGGCTGTGCTCCTCTTTCTTTATTAATTTAGCTCACGATACAGCTCAGAAGGCAGCTACGCACAAGAAGATGGAGATCGCGGAAGGTTTTATGATTCCCTGCTTGAGCGGGGCACGGGTCCATCACTGGAGGGGGTCCGGGGTCCCCCAATATCTCCTTGCTGAAGGGCCACAAGGTGTGGAGCAAGCTGGGGAGCATTTCTTCTAGATGTCCTCACCCCATCCCTGCTGAGATGTACCCATGCTCCCAGCCTCACTGATGTGGCAGCACGATGGGCTCGCTTGAAGCGCAGGGCACGAGCAGATGTCTCTTGGGGACACCACCTCTACGGTTCCCAGCAAACCCATCAGTCTCCCAGGGCTGGGCAATCACTGCCTGTGACCCCAGGAATGGTTTTATCAATTCAACACACCATGAGGCAGCATCCCGTAAAGCCTAGGCTCATCACTTGCTATTCTGAGGAGCATTTAACCATCTTCTCCATACTGGCTTCACCCTGTAAAGTTTTAAACTTTACAGTTTACAGAGATGACTTTACAGAGATGACCCCTCATTCTTCGCTCTGTAATGCACAATAAAGAAAAAGAAGGGGCAAAACTCGTTCCCCCCTCACCAGCTTTGCTGCCCTGGCTCTGCTCCCCCCTCTCTGAGCACCAGAGCAGCTCAGCGTGTAAATGTATGTAAATCTTTGGCGGTATCCACAATAGCCCCCTATCTCCTGCTCTCTTCCTCTGAACGGCTGAAGTAATTACAGTGTAGCAGTGCCAGCATGAGGCATTTCTGCTGATGAATGCACTCAATCTAAGCACAGTTTTATGTATCATTAATTTCTTTAGCATTCAAAAAAATAACTTTTTTGATGGCAGATAATACTGTAATCACTCACAATTGCCAATACAATTATCTTCATTCAGCTGTGTAAAAAAACAACTACAGGAGTAATTTTAGCCACTTAAATTTTCTTTCTCTCTCTTTTTAAAAATTTCTTATTTTTTAATGTTCACATGAAGTGCAAAGCTGTTTGGATTTAAGATGCTGTAACACATGCACTACTAGAAATGAGTCCCTGCTCCCCCATTTGTACAAAAATTAGGTTTTCAAAGCCTGAAACTACTTGCTTAAGGTGTCTTCGGCAATCTTAGGGATCTTCCAAAGGGTCCTTCCCATTCTGGGGACCCCACTGCTGTGACCTCTTCAACTTTCCCTTACTCTCCATCAAGCTGCCATGCGATAGCTGCCAGGTACACAAGGAACAAGAGAGCTTGTGCAAGTGCAAGGTGCACATGCAAGTCATGGTCCTCTTCCAGGTCAGCTCCTCCTCCACTCTCCTAGTGGAGAAAATAGGGGAGCATTCCCTAATCTGCTTCACAACAGAGTCCACAAAGCTGGCACAAACTGTGCATTCAATCTGCTTACTCAGGTACTCCAGCCTGAAGCAGATTTGGGAGGAACCAGTCCTCCCACTGGAGCACAATCAGTGAGGAGGACAAGCATCTTCTACAGGCAGCGGTGACTACAGAGTGAATAACAAAGGTGTCACTGAGTGAACAACTTGGTTGAGACATGCAATTTTATTGCAGGGGCAAAAGGAATCACTCCCACGTGACACTACCTCTTGCCTGAGTTGCTGGACAACGTTCTTGCAGGGGTTAAACTCCAGCTCTGAGAGGAGCTGCTTCACCTTCTTGCAGATCATGTTGACGAATCCCACTCGAGTGTTGGGAACCTACAAGGAGAGAAGAAATTTAGCAAGAGGGACTGTTGGCTGTTGTAAATGAAGCTTGGATCTTCTTTCAGAGGGCCAAACCCCAGGAAGGAGGCGACTAGCAGCTGGTGGCAGGAGCAAGCTGTTAACCTCTGGGAAACGGTCTAAAAGCGGTAGGGTGAAATGGAAGAACAGAAGTGTATAAATTCCTGGGTGAACAGCAAACAATTTCTTATTGCCTCTTCTGAAATAAGGGGCAGCAAATTAAATTAGCTGAGCACAGCAAACAGGAGATGTCGCTTTCCTATAGTACGTAGATAAACTGTGGATGTCCCTTCTGCAGGACGCCGTGAGTGCCAGAATCAGATTCCTTCACAGCAGAAATATCTGTATGAGCACACAGCTATTAGTCACTGAAACCTAACATCTGGCTTGGGAAGCCACAGCCCTCTGGGTGCCAGGAGACAGCACTAAGGAAAACATTGCTGTGTGTTTGCCATGCTCTTGGCGTCTGCTCTGGTGTCAGATGAACAGGGGTTAGCCGGTCCTTCAGCCTGATCCAGTCCAGCTGATCATGTGTGATGTGTCGCAGTTAGAAGAAGATGACGCCTTTCTGCCCCTCCTTTGGTAACAACAGGGTTACAGCATCTCTGGGGTGTGGTGGTACCCACCCAGACACAGCTCTGTGGACACAGGGAGGGGTGTGGGCAATGGATCCAGATGATCCTTTCTCCCTCCCTTAGCCACAGGCTCCAGCCCTGCCAGGCAGTGGAGGAGGTGCAGGGGCAGGATCCGTCCTCATTTCCAGCACCCCAGAATTCAAGCCCCCTTTGCTGCAGCGTATGGGCAGCCCTACGGACGTAACAGCAGAAAAGCTCCACTTCCTTAACTGGCAAGGACACACCAGTGTCCCAAGAGGACATCAGGGCATCACTTGCCCCACAAGCCACCAGTTAGCCCCCCACCCCGGCCCGTGGGGAGCAAGGCCAGACCCATTTAACCCCTCTTACGTTGTCCTAGGCACATCCTGCTGGCCAGGGTGTCCCCAGCCACTACCAACCTATGCTGGAGCCCCCCCATCCTCTGCCTTGTCCCATCTCTGCTGGCAGCTGGGTCACAGCAGAGACCCACTGCATTTTGGGGTTTCCCATGCCCTGGCTTAGCTTCCTGGAGCTGACCGGCCCCAGCAGACATCCAAATCTTGCCACTGTCCTGCCTGATCCTCAACCCCATTTATTCACTCCCATACACTCGCCTGGGAGAGAGGAGAAGGGGGTCTCTGGCAGCAGCTCCTGGAGGCACAGGTGCTCCAGCCATAAAGCTTGTATTTTTTTTTCTTCCCTTTGACAAGCTGAATTGCAGAAGTTGTAAATTGTTCCTGCACGAGAGGTTTTAAGCAGGGGAAGAGGATTAGAGAAGTAATTTTGTCTTCCACCAGAACTAGTTTTTAACTTCCGTTTCTCCAAGTTCACCACCTTTCTTGTTCTCTTGTTAAAAGACTTCAGGTGCACCTGGTTTTACAGCCTGCAGGGAAACAGCCCTATTTTGGCATTGGGCTGCCATGGGGTGAGATCAGTGCAGCTGAGGAGAGCGTGAAGCCTCCAGCATGAGAAAGAAGGAAGCAGGAGATTGGGATCACAGCATCAGCTCTCACCAACCTTGAGCTGATTCCATCCTCCTGGCTCACAGCAAGGGCACCCCCACCCATCCTGCTCCCCTTGCAGTTTCTTGTGCCCTGAATAGTCTGCATGCATGGGACTGCAGTGCCCTTGGAAGCTCGCATTACTGTATAATCCTCTGAGCCCCACAGTCTGAAAGGTGGGGGGGAGGGGGAAAAAAAAAAAACAACAACAAAACAGTGGGGAAAAAAGGGCCGTTCTTGCATGTAATTTCCTTGACCCAGATAACAGGGAGCTGCTCATCCTCAAATACAGAGCAAGAAGCCATAGGTCACAAGTTCACTGAGGGCTGAATATTTCCGAGGCTTCGACAGCCTTCAGCAAAGACAGTCTCAGTCCCAGGACGCTGTGTACATACAGCGCAGCATTTCCCTCTAGAGGAGCCAGGCTCTGGCACAAGCTGCTCAGGTGCTGCCAGAATAGCTCTGATGGCTTGAAGTAAAGCCAGCACCCTGAGCAATAACACCAGGAAAATCAGATCTGGGGTAAGTCAATCGCATTTTCTAGCTCAGCATCTGCCTGGGAGTGCCTTAGGCACAGCTCATCTTGCTGGGACGCAGAGGGAAGGAGAAGACATCCCAAACCCTGCCCAACAGGTTTTCCACAAACTTATGGGCCGCATCTAAACCTGATAGCTTGAAATATTTGCGGATGAACTTTTGCAAGCGGTGAAGGTTTTTTAAGGACAGACCTCGTGTTGGGCTGGTGACAGATTATTTTGGAGTTTCCCTCGGAAGTGAGAGCAAGGCCACAGCAAACGCTCCCCTGCCTGAGCAGGGACGCCAGGTTTCTCTGTTGGAAGTTGCAGCACTTAGCAAAGCACAGGCACACCCATGCTCTTGCCAGTGATGAAGTGGACTCCACTGGGCACAGGCTGGGACATTTATTGTTTCTTTTTCCCACACAGCTGCTCGGTCAGGAAACGCAAAGGAGCCGGGTATCGTTGGGACTTCCCCGCCCTGCTTCCTTGATGCTCCTAGCCAAGACTATCCCCAGAGAGGCTGAAAAATTTCAGGGAGATCAAAGCCTCACGTGGGGGACGGCAAAACAAATAAACCTTATCAGAGGGAGACGTGAGTTTCCATCCAGGAGCCTTTCCTGCTCCCAAATCTCCTCCTTCCCTACCCGTGCAGCTGCTCGCAAAGCAGCAAACCGGTGTAAAATCCTTTTCCAGCTTGAACCCAACCCCCTCCCGCTCGGGAATCCTCCCCAGGTTTTGCCTCCCTCTTCCCCACCGGCGAGCGGGTGCCCTTGGACCCGGCCGGGAGCGGGG